AGTCCCCCTCCACCTCCCACGCTGCAACGCACAGCTCAAGAGTGAGCCAGCAGGAGAACTGCTCTGCCTGACGTTTAATCCGCGGTCGAAGCTCTTCCGCTTGCTGAAAAGGCGTCTCAAACCGCCTCTCAGATTGTCTCTTGGGTTGCCTCTTATCCTGCCTCGTAGACTGCCTTTTAGATTGCCTCTTGAACCACCTCTTAGCCCGCCTCTCAGCCCTACACCGACACGGTCACCTCTGAATCCGCGACTACGTCCCTGCAATCGCCTACTCCTGCACCAGCCGTCGAACCCAAGCTCGCCGCTCTCAATCACAGAAAGCAGGTCCCGCGCGCACTCCTTCCCTCTCGCTCTGGCTTGAAGAAACTTCTGCTCGTCCCACACCCAGTCACCCTCCTCCTCGGGACTCTCAATTGACCCGTCTTCCTCTTCCTCCCTCTCTTCCTTCTCTGCGTCCCCAACTTCCGGTTTGTCCCCTTCCTCCTGCTGCTCCGAATTGGCGAAACAGCCGTTTTGCGTGAAAGATTTCGCCGACCAATCCTCGTCCTCTGATTGGCTGTTAGCATCAGACTCGCGCCGCTCAGAACTCTCGCTCAAAGAGACGTTCACACTCCGCGCCAATGTCTCCTTTGAACCGACCTGATGCTGCTCACACACCTCTGAAGCAAGAGCTAACCCATCTGAACCGGATTTTTCGCCAGGGATAAGAGCAGCGAAGAGAAAACGGAATTTACGACCAGAGTCGCGTTTAATTGTCACCGAGCGGAGAAAAGAGGAGAGATCCCGACCAGAAATAGATGGTGAGTGGGAGTGCTGACGCGTGAAAGCTGCAGTAGGGTCCCCGAAACGTGCGGTGAGACGGGATTCGACAGAGAATTCTGGAGCGGATCGCACGGAGCTGGCCGCTGCACGAATGCGAGGGCAAGGCGACGCAGCTGGAGGATAACTCCCTCCGCTGATCGCGCTCGTGCGGAAATGTGCGGTGGGATGGGGTTCGGTAGGGTTTTCTGCAATGGTTCTCAATGGTGTGGCTGCTGCATGAATGCGAGCGCAAGGCAGCGCAGCTGACGGAATGATCCCTCCGCTGATCACGCTCGTGTGATTCCTAATGCATCTGACGCCTCTACTGGCAGCGCTGATAGATTTGCCAGCAGCATCGATATTGCCGCGAGGAGGATTGACAACGCCGCCAGCAACGTCGATATTATTCATCAACCCAAAACTGAGGAAACTTTTGCTGGTTGGAGAGGTTGTTGCTGCCGCTGCTGCTGTGGCTGCTGCGAGGGTAGTGCTCACAATCGGCATTGGAAACGAAACCACCGAGCGCGGTCGCGGGGAAACCTGCGCTCGCCAGACGACTGCCAAAGGGCTGCGATATTACCCCAGCCTAAAGCGGTTCACGAACCCTCGGTTCCGGGACGCAGAAGGAGCAACTAGTGTTTCAAAAGAGCAGCGATGGCGGCTGGTTTGAGGGAGGTGGCAAAGCGCTCTTCATGTAAGGAAGCAAAAAGGAACGGGAGCGAGAAAAATTTCTAGAACCGAGGTCCTACCGAGAATTGAACTCGGCCTTTCAGATTCAGAGTCTGACGTCATAACCACTAGACCATAGGACCACGAAAACGATTAAATGTTTCAATTTCTTGTTTGTAAATTCAATACATAATGCTAACACCGTTAAAAGTAGTTGCATCTGCACTAATGCAGCACAAATATACGACGAGAACCTAATACTTAATAACAGCTTCTTATTTATCACATGATTTCACTTAAAGGAGAATCACTTCTGATCTTAATCTGGACTAACTGTACAGGTCAGCAGTGGAAAATAAGATCAGTGCACCTAAGGTAACACCTGCAAAGACGGGAACTACAAAAGAAAGGGTAACAGGCATGGAGTAGAAGAGTGGAAGGGAGGAGCAGCCAGTGGAGTCGCCATGTGGTTAGGAGATCAGCGGCTTAGAATGCCACATCAGTGTTCAAACTGGCCAGTCGAAGTAACTCTCGCACTCGATACTGGTTAAAAGAAATCCCAAATGCTTGTACTGCCGCTTCACGCGATCTCCACCAGTCAGTCAGTCCACTTGAAATTTGCAGATCGGCGTTAAAATTCCGCAGATCGGCGTGTCGCATCGGCCAAACCGAGCCATTAATTCGTCAGACTGGAACGGCCAAAAGCATTTGCTGCATTCGCTGCGACGCAAGAACCAATCGGCGCGTTAACGCATGACGGTCACGGATGGCGGGCAACGCTTTGCGAGGGGCTCCGGGACATTGGAGCGACACAGAGGTGTCCATAGTGCGACGTTGGGCAACGGGAGTGACGCATGCCGCGACCGATTCCGGCGACGGCTGAATATGCTGCCTCGACGACAGCGGAGTAACTGGAATATCACTTGTTGTGGCACGATCATGAATCACCAGAGGAGAGAACAAGAAACTCGGGACGCCAGCATCAGGCTCCTCCATGCATTCTGAACCAATCTGAAGCCCACGAAAGGATCCTGACGGTTCGAGCAGCCTTCCTGAAGTTCCCACGTCATTGGAATCGCTGGCGCTTGTTGCAGGCTCTTGAGGTCTCTCAGCTTGCTCGCCTTCATTCGCAGCCGCAAGCGACGGAAGCGGAACTTCGCCATGATCGCGCATGGTCCCCGGTTCAGATATGCTGCTCCTCTTCAGGACGTAAGGAGAATATCGGAGCGCCCTTCGTCTTCGACTTCGGATGTCGACAGCAGCATGAGAGATTGAAGTCAGCGACGGGGTGCTCTCAGGAGTCATGTCAGCGTTTACCAAGTCTGGAACCTCTGGAGTTTGCACCGCCACGGGCATCGCCACTTTGCCAATCTCAGGTATAAGCTCGCTCGAGCTGTTGAATAGTGGTACTAGGCTATCGGAATAACGCGGGGAACGTTTCATGGCTTTTCACGTGACACAGTTTGCAGACGCTAAACACAGAACCAGGAGAAGCGGTGAGTCAATCTTGAATGCTTTCGGCCAGGGTGCTCAGAAAGTAGACTGTTGCCTTTCCATGGATAAGAGCTGTGTATCTAAAACAAAGTGTGGTGGCGGTGGAGTGGATGGGATGGGAGACAGAGCAGCCACTATCTTGGGGACGATGGACACCTCTAGAAGCGAATCGTAAAGCCGACGCACACCAGAAAAACCTGACGCAGGGGTGCTCGTTGAACAAATCCAGAGAACTCAGCTTCCCCAGCCAATGGCTATTTGCCAGGGAACAATCGAGACGGGTTCAGCGCAGACCAAACAGAAAGGAAACTGGGTTACTGGGAAGAGACGCTAGCAGGTTGGGGCATATGGCTGTGTTGGTTCGGTGAAGCTTGAGGCCAACTTGGGCTAGGCGTGGGAGGCAAGGAGAATGGCTGGGCTGGCTTGGTTTGGCTCATCCAACTATCTGTCCGCTTTGCTGTAACTATCTGCCTTGTCTGCTCAATCTGCCACGTCTTCTTCTGCAATCTCCCGTGCTGTGGTCCCTCGTTTGCTCTGCCTCTTTTCCGTCTTGTTGACTGTTCACAGGCTCGGGAGCTGGTTACCATCTTCCAATAAAGGTCGCACGCGCGGGCAGCAGAAAAATAACGTTGTCGGCTCCCTCCCTCCCTCATCGTCCACTGCCAGCTGTGTTTGACAACCAGCTGTACAGTACTGGACGGAATTGGAAGCGGGACGGATGGGCGGACGAAGCGATGAGTTGACAAGGTCGAAAATTTGGATGTCTACACCTGTTCTCCGATATTTCCACACCCTGAACTTTGATTCTACTCAGACACCCTACATGGTTGAAGGTTTGATGAGACGGACGCCCTGACATTGCGGGTCTATCAGGAAATAGCCACCAGGTCAAGGCCTTTCCAAACTCGAACTTTGTAGTTCGATTGAGCGGGGAAAATTCCAGTGCCAGATTGTTCCTGCGGTAACCTCGCATTGAGATTGTGTTTCATTAACCTTGAAAATTCTTCGAGCGTTGCTAACTACCTTCGAAATCGGTTCTTTCGAGGGTAGGTACCCCAGGTCGTGAAGATAAAGGGTGTGGAATTATCGCGGAACATGTGTATTGGTGAAATGAAAATGCACGAAGCTGCACGAAAGTGGTAGAACAGAACGACACCGCAGATGTGCCCCCTCATTGTCGGTGAATCGTGGGCGTCCAGGTTCAAATTGACATGAGAGATTCATCCGTCCCGTCAAATGCAACATTCAATGCTCCCCTGCAGATTCGCACCAGAGTGCACCACACGTCAGACTTGGTGCAGGCAACTATGACATCAGAAAGTGCAAGGATGTGCTGGCAGGTGGCACCCAAAGCCACCCAGAGAAATCGTTTTACACAGTTCGAAATCAGACGTCTCTATTCATATTAACCTACGTTATTTCAAGTTATGTCCTTGTTCGTTATCCTAGCAACTGTACATCCCGCTTTGCTTGGTGGAGTTGAATCGGAAGGCAACCCCCTCAAACACAAAATGAGGGACCCATTTTTTTCTGCTGAAGGGGAGCTTCAAATAACATTCTACCCCCTGTCGGCGATGAAGAGGGGTGGGTGCTTGAGTGGCACCCATCTTACTGGCGGGATTTCACCTCACCACTGCATCCAAGCTTGGCACGAGACCTATGGTGAAGTAATGATTCCCTTGCAGGAGGATACTTGTGACGTCAGCAGCAGCTTCAGTTCGATACCAGCAAACTCAGGTTAAACTACGACAGTACACTTCCCTGCCACTTTAAACAAAAGCCACCTTGATGTTTTCTTCTCATCGTAATGAATCACCAATTCAGCTGCAGATTCTCAGGACCTGTATGGCCATCTCCGCCGATTCCGCGTGCCGTGCTGGCGTTCGACCAACGCGGGCGATTTGCATGTTGATTCATCCAGCGGAAAACATTACATTTCTCGCGACATGAGCTATGCCGTTGTAGGGGCCAGGTTTTTGGCCGCTTGTCGCGAGGCACGTGCTCGTTGACAGGGCGTGATGTCGTCGCTGCGCAGCATGCACGATGATCCGCTCGCGCGGGGATGTGATTGAAGGGAGAGAAGCAGCCAGCTTCTCGAGGTGTGATGTTTCCAGATGCCAGCTTAGTATCGTCGTGAGCATAGTTCGCATCGCGCTCGCTCCCTCGAAGTTTGATGTCTCGCTCGCAATCCTGTGCAATTAGTAGAAGACCTGGGAACGCAGTTCCCTTATACCGCTCTCGTTCCTGCTCGCCCTCATCATTCGGTCTTTGCTCTTCTTACACCACTTTCCGTCAGTGTATCCTCCATCTGCTGTCGTGTTCGTCAACATGGCTGTGCTGACTCTTCTAACCTTGTTCTGCGCTTTGGGTAACCCATTTTTCCACCCATTTCCGTTGCGAGTCTCTTTAACTTCCCCTCTCTTTAACCACTCTATGTTCTCCTTTCTCTCATCATCCGTCCCTATCATCCAATCCCCTTGCATGTTTCCCCATTCTCCCCCTTTCCCTGAATCCCCCTTCCCCCCCCACTCCCTCCCCGCTCCCAGCATCCGCCTGCGCGCAGAATCTACCGCGCCCCGGCCCAGTGGCAGCAGGAGGGGGTGTCGGAGTGGCGGGGGGGGGAGGGCCCGGGGGAGCTGCAGCCGGAGGGGGAGGCGGAGCAGCGACAGGGGGGTTGGGGGGACCCTTTCCACGAGTGGCGCAGCAGGGGCAGGGGGGAGAGCCTGGACAGCTGGGGGACCTCTATGGTGCGCTGATTCGTTTGTCTCTTGTTGTGGTTGTGTTATCTCGTGCAACCCCATGCCTTCGTGGTTTTTTTCTCCTCGACTTCCAGTTGTCCCTTCCTTCCGATTTGTCTTACACATACTTTATTTGCTGGTACTGTTTTCCATAAAGGTCGTCAGACAGTGCACTGCGCTGTACTTATCCAATCATTGTTTGCCATGTGGCAGCCCATCTGGACGCTGAGCTGGAAGGTCAGCAGAATGATGATATCGAAGGGCATGTGCACGTCTTTGCCTTCAGGTAACACAAACACATCAGCCAGTTTCAACAAGAGTTCATTTGTGCATGTCCTTCAGTAAGGGAGAGCACCTTGAGGGGGTATGTAATGTTCCACATGTGTCCTGACGGATGATCCACCCATCTCCTGACCTGGCTGCACAAAGCAAGTTGGTCAGCGTATCCTTTCCCGCCACATGGCTTCCCCCCTCCCCCCAATCGCTGCCCAGTCTTTTGAACCCCTCAAGCTGCTTTCCTTCTCTCCTTTTTTTCCGACTCCCTTTCTCCTGCTTCAGCGTTGACAACACCACGTTCAACTTCCTGTACGTCACCGCGCATGTCCCGGAGCAAGCACCCCCCACCAACGCTAAGCCGCTTTCCTTTGTTGGTCTTTCCTTTGTTGGTCTTCCCTGTGTCTCCCTTTCTCTCACAGTGTTGACAACACCACGTTCAACCTCCTGTACGTCATCAGTGTGATGCAAGTCCCGGAGCAAGCACCTCCCACCAACGCCACAATCACCAGCAAGCAGAACGACACCGTGCTCTTCATTCCAGCCACGTGGCGCGAAACCACTGGTCAGCCGGGATTCAAGATGGAGGATGGTGGCATGATGAATTGCACTGATGGGATGATGAATTGCTCTGGTTACAGTTACGCGGCTGCGGGGTACTGGCCCAATGTGAATCCTACTCTTGTTGATCTGGTGACCAGGATGGTTGAGGATCCCGAATCTTACAGGGCTCATGTGGCGTTGCCGTCAGGGGAAGATGTGAATGGGAAGTTTGAGCTTGCGTGATCATTGATCTGTTATGCACAGGTCTGGTGTTTCCGATGTATGAACATGCTTATCCTGAGAATGGTTGCTAACAGGATTTTCTGCCCTTTAAACTAGTGCTGTTCAGGGGTCCTTGCACTCTGCATTGTAGGTGTAGAGAAAGTAGATGTTGGAGGGAAATATCCTGAAACTACCGTACAACGTTAATCTCAATTTGTTTTCTAAAACACTATCTATGCATTTTCTCATCACTGTACCGGAGATCTTCACTACAGGTAAAATTGTGCTGCATGAATATGAATGATGTTGCTGCCAACCTCATGGAGATTGCCGTAGAAATCGCGAGGCTTCTGTCAAGGTCTTCGAGGTCAGTCTTCGTTCATGGCCGCCAATCGCGCGAAAGCAGCCGATAGGAAGCTCATTCGAGCTCCGCCGGGACCGCCGCGGATTAGTACAGCCTGCCGGACTGGCATGGCCGGTTTCGTGATTGAGCCGAGTCGGCCAATATCGCCGACGCGATTGCCAATGTTTGGTGAGACACGTTGGATTGGCACGTCTGCCTCGGATGTGCTCGATTCCGCCTCATCAGGCTGTCAGAAGAGCAGCGCCAATCACGCCGTCGGAGGATCCATGAATAGCCTAGCCTAGTTAGCGCCAAGCCCTCCTGATTCACGCCATTAAAACCGGAGTCTCACAGGATTCGAAGTTGGGACTCCGGTTTTAAATTGAATGGCCTCGTCCACCCTTCGATTTCAACCACGTTGTGCAGCGCCGTTCAGTCGCTCCGTACCAGGCTTCTTTAATCCCAGCGACCTGATCGTAGGAGGCTTGTATCGAACTGCGCGGCCTTGAAGCCGTACCGGCTCGGTTCACAAGGAGGATCTCGAGGAAGTGCAGCATGCAGCACACAGTGTGTCGAGGCGCCTCACCTTGCAACCGAGGCGTGTAACATTCTTCGAGGTTTCGAGTCGGTTCAAGAAGAATCTGGAGTGACATCGCGGCGGTATTGTTGTGCTAATGGAGGTGATGTTAAGGTAGAATACCGAGGTGCTTCAAATCGCCCCTGGATCCTCAGTCGAGTTCTCCTCCGTCGGATGCTTTTATCCTTGTCGCTTGCCACGTCAGCCACGCTCTCCGCGCTCAACTTGCTGCATCCGGCTTCCGGCTCTCGGCCTTAGACTCTCCGCTTCTGGAGCGACGATGGATGCCCGTTGAGTTTCTCGCGCCGCTCGCGTTTCCGCACAAGATTGCTGCTACTATAAAATCATTCCAGTGAAAGATCGTATCGCAGCGACTTTTCGAGGCCTGTGTCCCTCGCTCGTCCGTGTCTGTCATCTCTAGCCGCGGCGTCTCTTCTCTCGTCTCCTCACTCCTCGTCTTCTTCCTCCTCTGTCCCACTCCAGTACCTGCTGGGATCCGTCTGTATTTGACTCTCAACGCGCACGGGAGCAGCCATGGGTTTCCTGACGCTGCTGGTCGTTTTCTGCGCTTTAGGTATGCTATGCTATCCCCGCTATGTGCAATTCGTTTCTGGTTGAGGTTGTGACTTCCTGTGGGAGGTTTCACCTTGTCTGTTCGCACTGCTTGTGTCTTGCTGCTATTTACAATTCCGAACACTCGGAGAAAAGAGTCACACAATTGCTTCGCTGGTGAATTGTTGAGCTTTCGTTGGTGGACGATTGAGCTGGTTCCATACCTATCCTTCCTTCCCTGATTTGCTCTTTCCCGACTTCCATGTGACCCGGTTACCCTGTTTCGCCCTCTTCGTGAACCCCAGCATCCGCGTGCGCCCAACAGCCCCCAGGGGGAGGGGGCGGAGCACCAGGGGGGGGAACGCCTGTGCCAGCAGGGGGAGGGGGCGGAGCACCTCAGGGGGGCGGAGCACCAGGGGGGGGAACGCCTGTGCCAGCAGGGGGAGGGGGCGGAGCACCTCAGGGGGGCGGAGCACCAGGGGGGGGAACGCCTGTGCCAGCAGGGGGAGGGGGCGGAGCACCTCAGGGGGGCGGAGCACCTCAGGGGGGCGGAGCGCCTCAGGGGGGCGGAGCTCCTCAGGGGGGGGGAGCACCTCAGGGGGGCGGAGCTCCTCAGGGGGGGGGAGCACCTCAGGGGGGCGGAGCACCTCAGGGGGGCGGAGCACCTCAGGGGGGCGGAGCACCTCAGGGGGGCGGAGCACCTCAGGGGGGCGGAGCGCCTCAGGGGGACGGAGCTCCTCAGGGGGGGGGAGCACCTCAGGGGGGCGGAGCTCCTCAGGGGGGGGGAGCACCTCAGGGGGGCGGAGCACCTCAGGGGGGCGGAGCACCTCAGGGAGGCGGAGCACCTCAGGGGGGCGGAGCACCTCAGGGGGGCGGAGCACCTCAGGGGGGCGGAGCACCTCAGGGGGGCGGAGCACCTGGGGGGGGAGCAGCCCCAGGGGGGGGAGCAGCCCCAGGGGGCGGAGCAGCCCCAGGAGGAGGAACGCCTGTACCAGCGGCGGGAGGCGGAGCAGCAGGGGGAGGAGGCCCTGGGGGGCCTGGGGGGGCTGGGGCAGCAGGGGGAGGGGGGCCGGGGGGGCCAGGGGGTGCGCTTGACAAGGTTGGGAAGAAGGTTCCGCGGGTTGCGCAGCAGCAGCAGCAGGGGGGAGGGCCGGGGGGGGCAGAGCTGGGGGACCTCTATGGTGCGTGTCTATTCGTGGCTAGGCTCTGACCGATGGCCCCCCCAGGCCTCCCATGCTCGCTTGCGCTGTTCCTCTTCCAACTGCTCTGCCTGTCCGCAGCTTTCTTATCACTTCCATTCATTCACCACCTTATCTTTCCACACTCCATGACTACTTTACCTAGCTCACGTCTCTTCCCCTGTCCGTTGCCCTTGGTTCTCCCTTCCTCTTCTCTTATCTCTTCCATGTCTCTCTGGTGCTTGTCAATGATGATTGTTCCAATGGCTGTGCGCCACGTGGCAGCCCATCTGGAGGGTGAGCTGGAGGGGCAGAACAACGACGACATCGAAGGGGAGATCCACCTCTACACCTTCCGGTAAGTCCCTTCCGGTAAGACTCATATGCACTCTTGGAAGCTGTGCCGTACCTCCCATGAGACTCTCTGGTCTGCAACTTACCCGTCCGGTCAAAGGTCAGTGCTCATGGCTGCTTCTGAGGCAAACCAAACGCCACCTTTAAAAGGGGAGACTGACCTCCACTTCCCCTGGTAGTTTGAATGATGCGGTGGGCCACAAAAAGGGGAGATCCACCAAAAGTCACCTTTTGTGAGTCGACACAAAAGTCACCTCGAGCCAAACGCCACGTAAAAGGGGAGATCCACCTCTACTTCCTCTGGTAGTGTCAATGATACGGTGTGCCAGCTGGTTGTGAAGACCAGATCAGTTGCCGGTTTAAGTAACTCATGCTTGTTGATTCCACAAGAACTCATGGAATTGAAGTTTAAGCATAGCAATAAATAACGCCAGAAGTTCGCCGTTTACTCTGTTCCCATATCCTCGGCCTTAATACCCTCTCCCTTCCCCTCACACCCTTTTTCCTACCCTCCCAAGCAGCGCCACCAGTGGCGTCTTCAGCATGCTCTAAGTCCTCTCAGCCAAGCAGCTTCCCCAGTAGTCATCTCTCTCTGACACTCCTTCCCCCCCACATCCCGCTCGTCCCCGTCCCCTCCCCCGCGTCCTCCCCCCCAAGCAGCACCTCTTCTGGAGCCTTCAACGTGCTCTATGTCCTCACAGTCAAGCAGCTCCCCCAGCAGTCCCCCCCCACCAACGCCACCATCACCCGCGGCCGCTCCGTCGCCCTCACCTTCCCCGCCACGTGGCGCGAAACCACTGGCCAGCCGGGCTTCAAGCAGAACGACGCTGATGATGACGACGATGGGGATTGCCCGGACGGCAAGTGTTACAGTTACGCTGCGGTTGGTTACTGGGCGAATGCGGATAAGACAATTACCGATGTGGTGAACGGTATGATTGCGGATGCCACGGCGTATCAAGGGCACATGACTTTGCCTTCAGGGGAGGATGTGAAGGGAGAATTTGAGCTCGATTAAAGCTGCATGGCATGGTGTGTGAGTGATTTTTGTGGCTCCTGCTGCTGCTGGTTGGTGTGAACGGTATCTCAGAAACAGGGATTCTATGGAAGGGGAGTGGCCGGTTGTGTAGGTTACATACAGGGAGGGAGGGTAGTAGTAGATGTGTTTGTGAGTGGCGCTGCCTGTTGGTGATGGCTGTATATGTGCCGTGCAATGAGCAATCAAATGAATCTGAATGGAAAAGGCAAAAGAATGTAGACATTGCAACCTGAAAATTAGTAGAATGGGTCAGTTGAATCAGAAATGGGTTCCTATTATACATAAATTTGTTCAGCAGAGCCGAATGTTAAGCCCTTGATAGAGTCCATTATTGAAACCGGGTAGAATCATGCTTCTGACTGCTGACGTGACTGGTGATGTGGCCGCTGCTGTTTATGCGAGTGAAGCTGCTGAAGCCGCTGCTGCTGTGGCTGCTGTAGGCACTGCTGCATGGTGGTGAGGCTGCGACAGACGGCCCACAGAAACGGCTGACCCAGAGCATCGGCAAGAGAAATGTGGAGCCCTCTACGAATTTTATTATTCAAAACCAGGAGAAATCATGCGTGTGGCGGTTGATTGCTGCTGTGGCTGCTGTGGGCGCTGCTGCATGGCGGCAAGGCTGCGGCAGACGGCCCACAGGAAAGGCCGACCCAGAGCATATGCATGAGGAATGTAAAGCCCTCTACAAATTCCATTATTCAAAACCAGGAGGAATCATGCATGTGGCTGTTAGCTGCTGCTGCTGTGGGCGCTGCTGCATGGTGGCAAGGCTGCGGCAGACGGCCCACAGAAACGGCCGACCGAGAGCATCTGCAGCAAACAGTGATGTGGGGCGAAGAGGGAGCAGGTGGAATGAGGCGTGGTGTTTTGAAGTGTCATGCCAAAAGAGGGAGCAGGTGGGATAGAGCGGAATGGTGGTAAGGCAGACAGACCGAGGGAGGGAGGGAGAGAGATATATACAGGGCACGAAAGATGGACAGGAGGACAGTGTGAGGGAAAGAGGGGGACGGCGACAAGTAAGCAAAACGCCAACTTTGGGTTACAGTGAGAGTGAGCAGAAAACACTGGGGCACAATTTCACTCACTCTTGAGTCGACTCAAAAGAACACTGGGGCACAATTTCACTCACTCTGACACGCAGGCGACATGAGGTGAGACGAGTAGAAGCTGACCCGTGCCACTCCTGGTAGCACCACATCACACATCACGTCCCGCGCTCTCATTCGCATCCCCACATACGCCGCAAACGCGTCTCCCGCCCCATCACCAGCCTCCCCATCACATGTCCCACCACCCTCACCGACCCCCCCACCACCACCTGCCCCGCCCTGCCCCAGCAGGAAGAAGGCGGCGTGGGGGAAGGAGATGCCCGAGGGGGAGTGCAGCGCATGCGCGAACACTCCTGGCCAGGCCCCCGGGTCACTGCGCCTGCTCTCCTGTAGTATAAGCGCGTTCAGAGGGGCAGGAGGGCGGGTGGGATCGCCTGTAGCGGTAGGTGCGGCGGCAGGTGTGGCAGTGGGAGGTATGGCGGCAGGTGCGGCGGTAGGTGCGGTACTAGGTGTGGGGGTGTTGGCGGCGAGGTGAGTGAGAGTGGCTGCAGCGAGGGAGACCTGGGTGACGGCGGTAAGGGAGAGGTGAGCGGTGACGGTGCCGAGAGGGAGGAGAGAGGTGTCGATGGTTCTGATGAAGAGAGGCCCGCTGTGATCGGGAGGGGAGTGAGGATGGAAAGAGGGAGAAGGGGAGAGGTTGAGAGTATGAGAGAGAAACAGCAAGGGGCGAGAATTGGGAGACGGCGGTAAGGGAGAGGTGAGCGATGCCCCAGAGAGGGACGCTATTCGGCGCAGCACAGCGCAGCGCAGAACAGCGCAGCGCAGCACAGGCGTGGGTCGTGATTCAGTTCGCCCGCACCCTCACCCTCACCCTCACCCTCACCCTCACCCTCACCCTCACCCTCACCCTCACCCTCACCCTCACCTGCACCCTCACCCTCACCCTCACCCTCACCCTCACCCTCACCCTCACCCGCACCCTCACCCTCACCCGCACCCTCACCCTCACCCGCACCCTCACCCGCACCCTCACCCGCACCCTCACCCGCACCCTCACCCGCACCCTCACCCGCACCCTCACCCTCACCCTCACGCCCGCTTCTATCCCCACCCCGCCGCACCCCCTACCCAGCACACCCCCAACCCCCCGCCCCCCCTTGCACGCTCTCACCTCCACAAGGGTTGGGCATCAAACGGCAGAGAGGCCTGCGGCGCTTGAGAGGCCTGCGGAACGGCTGCCTCTCGTGCCGCTGCTGCGCTTGCTGCCTTTGTGGCTGCTGGTGTGGCTGATGGTTGTGCCGCTGCTGCATTGCAATCAACCGTCACGTCTGCCGCTCCATCTTCTTCATCACCAGTCAGGTCTAGAACAACAGTCGCGTTTTGGTGATTGGTTGAAGGAAGATCGGCCGTTGATTCTCTTCCCATTCTCGATCTAGCTTCTTCGCTCCCGCTCCATTCTGATCCTCCCTTTACTCCTGCCCCCGCTTCTGCTTCTGCTGCCCCTCCTCCTCCTGCTCCACTCCCCACTCCCCCTCGTCCGTCTTTCTTCCCTACTCTCTCTGCTCCTCTGCCTACTCCTCGTCCCACTGACCGGTCGCTTGCACCTCGATCAGAATTGTCCACGTCAGCGATCCGGTTGTCCACGTAAGCCATCAGGGTGTCTGCGTCAGCGACGGGAGGCGGCACACCCAGTCGGATGCATCTGCTGCACTGCCACGTCGACAAGTTCACTCGACCCAAGCAGTACCTGCAGCCACGTGGCGTGAGCTTAAACCAATGTGCTCATACAGGGAGATTCCTTAAAACGAGGTGACACTGAACACAATCGGACTCAATATAGGCGATCCAGGCCGTTGATGCCAGAAAGATCGGACGGTTCTGCGATGACCGTATGCGTGGCCGCGTGCGACGTCGGCGCAGGCGTCGCATGACGTACGTGTGGCGTGCGACTGTATCGCAGGTGTTGCAGGATCGCAGCTTGGCCGGATTCGCATCGCCGCCACAGATACCGCACACCGTTGGAGCCATGAACGGTCGAGATGATACGTCGCAGCGCTAAACGAGCATGCCGAAAGAGCAACTATGGATGGCGAGGTGGGGTAACGGCGAACGGCAAGAAGACTTCTGGGGAAATCATGCACAAAACGAAGGGGAAAAGGCAAGACACAAAAGTGGCTTCGCCCGGACTTGAACCGGAGACCTTCAGTGTGTTAGACTGACGTGATAACCAACTACACCACGAAACCACGGCGACCGACATCGTCGTTAATATTTTTGTACAAAAAAATCTGGTGGGTGCAAGAATCTGATTGATGACCACCATCTACTCCACCAAAACCAGCTAGTGCGCGCGTCGCAGCATCAGGCGCGATGGCGGACACGGTGCAGACGGTGCTGGAGCGCATGCTCCCGGAGCTCGACAGTCTCGAGAAGCAGGGCCTCTTTACGCGCGAGGAGATTAAAGAAATCGTGCGTCGCCGCACCGCCTTTGAGTACCGCCTCAGGCGCCGCGGCAGCGCGGCGATTAAGGACGACTATATGCGGTACATAGAATATGAGATGCAGCTCGAGGCGCTGCGCCAGCTGCGGAGGAGAGACCCGAATCGTCGCCAGGTGCCCGCTTCTCACTTTGTCCGCCTATTAGTGGTTTAAGGACCTTCTTGTGAGCCTTTTGTAGCATCCCCTTTTAGTGAGATTTTCTTCTCGAGGCGCTTAAACCCACGTTCTTACCCACATTCGCTTCCCGCGACCCCCCTCCCCCCGCTATCTCCCCCATCGCGCGCGCAGGCTTTCCGCCAGCGCGCGGACGGTGTGCTGCGGCGCAAGGGGAAGCAGGGCAGCCGCGAGTGGTACCGGCGGCAGCGCGCGGCGGAGCGCGCGAGTGACGTGGCAGTGATCAAGCGCGTGCTCTTCATCTTCTCGCGCGCGACTCGGCGATTCAAGGGCGACCTGGACCTCTGGATGCGCTACCTCGACTTCTGCAAGGCGTCCGGGTCGAGGCAGCAGATGCAGAAGGTACGCTGGTGCTCAGATCGGTTGAGAGGGAGTATCAGGGTTTAGAGGGGCTTAGGAAGGGCGTGGAATGGTTGACAGGGGTTTAAGCAGGTCTCCTGGGTTCAAGGGCGACATGGATTTCTGGACGCGGTACCTCGATTTGATTGCAAGGCTTCGGGGTCAAGGCAGCAGATGCGGAAAGTATGCACAGGTTCAGAGGGGTTGAGAGGGGGTTAAGAGGGTTCCTGAGGGGTTTAAGCCGCACTTTCTCTCTCTCTCTCTCTCTCTCTCTCTCTCTCTCTCTCTCTCTCTCTCTCTCTCTCTCTCTCTCTCTCTCTCTCTCTCTCTCTCTCTCTCTCTCTCTCGTTGTATGCTGCAACCTACGAGATCACCCATTGCATGGAGGCACCTGCGTCCTCCCCCACGTACCCCCGTGCCCCTCTCTCCTTCAACAGGCCGTGGCTCGAGCATGCCTCCACCCAACCGCGCCACGCCGTCCCTCTCTGGCTCTACGCAGCAGCCCACGAGTGCACGCACTGCAGGAACGCGTCGGCTGCCTTCTCCTGTGTTTTCCCTCCCCTTTCTCTCCCTCTCCCTCACCCCCCCCCCCCCCCCCACCAGACAATGGTGCGGGCATTGCAACTGCATCTGACGGAGCCGTCTCTCTGGCTGTACGCCGCATCTGATGAATTCACTAACCGCATGAGCGCGCCTGCTGCCTCCTCCTATGTACCCCCTCCCTCCCTCCCCATTTTTTCCTTCTCCTCCAACCCTCCCCCAACAGACCATGGCACGAGCACTGCAGTTGCACCCCACAGAGCCCTCCCTCTGGCTGTACGCCGCATCATATGAATTCACGCACCGCATGAACGCGCCTGCTGCGCGCACGCTGCTGCAGCGGGGGCTGCGCATGTGCTGCCCTCAGCTCCACACTGG